TGTACCTGGGGGTCTAGTAGAGAAGGAGGAGGACAGAAACCCTAGCTGTGTTTTGGCTTCCCTGGTTGCTTCTGTCTAAACTTTTCTTTTTGCCATTAAGTAATTAATCTAACAAGAATTCACCACAAAATAGAATACACTGCAGTAATAGCTACCCTCTCTCTTATAGGCCTGAAGCTCTTCAATATCTGTCTCACAATCACAGAAGGCCAGCGAAGTCCGAGATAGAGTCTGGGCTGCCCACTTATATCCTCATAAGAGCCCAGGTGGATACCACTATTCAAAATAGAATCCAATTTTATGCACATGGGGCACGTGTGCACCAAGAACAGAATTTCTCTGAAGGACGATTCACAGAAGTAGTCATTACCCTACCCATTATCTTTAAGAGGCACAGCAATTTTCAAGACAGTACAAATAAGCATGTGGATTTTAAATTGTGTAGAAGTCTTTTAAACAACAGGCCGTTCTCAAATGTAATAAGAGCAGAGTGCTGCTGTTCTACTCTAATATTATGCAACACTGAAGTCCTAACTTCCATCTTCCTTCCACATATACATAAAAAAGTTATTCTTCTACTGTACTGTTTTTGAAAGCCACACATTATATGTTAATTCCAAGATATCTGAAAATAAAATTATTTGTTTTCTTATATGCCCATATGCCATACACTTAATTTAGACATATTTCTTTCTATATATTCTTCCTCCTTTGGATTTCTGATGGACTTTGATGGAAAAAACTACGGCACTAGAAGCAATGAGAATTTCAAATACTGTAAATGAGATTCTAAAGCTGACAGAACAAAATATATTATTTTCCTCTCAAACTTTGAAGAATGCTACAGTCCCTCATGCAACCTTATGTAACTATAAAGCATTCAATCAGTTTCTATCCAAATCTTTTCAGCATCCATTAAACAAATAGGTACGTCTTTAACAGCTAACACATAGTAGTAACACTGGATATTTTACCTGTTCTGCTGTGAAGAGCGGCTCATCATTGACGCAGGATACTATGATAGAATGCATATCTAGCTGCTCCCTCAGTTCTTCATCATCTGATAAATCAAGGTTCAAACCATCGTTTACCTAAAACCACAAAGTAAAAGGGGGTGGGGGCTGAAATTAAATTATAAAAAGTCTCTAATATTAAATAATGAACCTGAATTAGATTCTTGCTTTTAAGTACTTAAAGCCCAATAAAACCTCAATAAAAATTAAAATAAAATTACAAAGGAAACATATTTTATCAATATAATCAACATTTGTTTTGGACAAAAACATAAGCATTCTTTGTTTTCTCAACATGCTAAAAAGTACATAACTTAGCAATGAAGCTACTCACATGCCACCCACTGTATGCCATACAAACATTTGTAGAAAAGGCAGTGTTAAGTCCATCATTTGTAATTGTTCTTTACTCTTTCAAATGGAAGACATCAAAGTAATGAACAAGAAAGCCATACAAAAGTCTGATAAAACTAAAATCTGTTATAAAATAACATTGTTGCAAGATCAGTGATATTTATATATTGAAAGACATCAGACTTTTGATATAAGCAACAGTTACCAATACATTTCCCAAAAACAAAAACCTTTTTTTTTTTCCTGGAAACACCCTGTACGTTTTATTAAATGAAAATATACCATATATATCATGGAAGTAATTATGTAAGCATTTATCCCTCAAATACATAAAAAACACATTCTATTGAAAAGCTTGCAACTCAGTAAGTAAAACAAAAAACCCACAATAATCAAATCCTCCGATTCCCCTACCTACCAACCTGTTAGGCCTACAATTTTGCCTTAAGATACTGATATACTTCGAAATGATTTGCTTTTTTAGCATCCTGTTAAAATGTTTCAGTCAAATGAACCTGAATGTGCCAAATGTATGCAAGTATCAGTTGGCAATTCAGCAACACAGGTCTTTTTAAAAATTGTGAAAATTTTGAATTCAACGTGTCAATTATAGCCACTTGTTCAACCTCTGGGCATTCAGCATTTGTCATGCTGGTACAAAAAAAGATCTACCATCTCACTGAATGTGCAATGTCAGGGTATTTTTTACACTTTAGATCAATTCAGATTTTTGCCATGCCTGCAATGCTATTGTCAGTACGTATTTTGTCAAATCCTTCCAAAATTACCTTCAAGTGCTTTTGTAAAATCTATCATCTGTGAAGTATCTTGTGATAAACATGTGCCCAAACCCCTATGCTGTTCATTGCAATTCTCAACATACTTGTGACAGGTGGACACAAATATACAATCTTCTTGAGAACCCTGCCAACTGTCACTGAAAAAGGAGAATCACTGTCCCAACTTTCTAACTGTCAGGCAGCAAAAGAATTTCTGTTCTTTCAAGATTCAAATCAGGCCATTAGTATATAATAAAACAAATTCACATTTAAAAACAAAATGATTCCCTGTCCAATTCAACAGTTACAATGCAATTTAGAGATTAATTCTGGAAGGCACTGAGCATCTCCAGTCCCTCCAGAATTTATGGAGGAGCTCTGGCATCTATCAAATCAAGTCCATTTTGCATTTTAGAGAAGGCATCTGCTCAACTTCTTTCCACACTCCAAATAAGCAAACTTAACAGGTTTTAAAGGTGCAAGACTTAGAACTTCAGACCCACACAGAATATCCCCATGCTGAGGATATGGGCAACTCCTAAATACTGATCTACTTTGTGCTCACAGGCATACAGGAAGGTACCCATCATTATTCAGAACACTGATACTGCTGATCTTTGAAGAACAGGCTTAACAGGCAAATGTCTTGTGTCCTCTTTATAAAATTAGCTTCCAATTGCCCGCAAAAGGTGTTGTTTGGATGTGAAAGGTCCTCAAACTTATCTTGTATACCGTACTGCAATGCTGAGGGCATCAATTCTGGATGCAACCATTTTTGTCATATAATAGGCCACCTTAATCTGAAATCATGTAATATTAATTTCTGATAGCAAAATCTCAAATGGCTTCTGCATCTCCTGGAGAAGAAGGCATAACTTTTCTTAAGCACCAAACCACAAGACCAGTAACTTGTGCATGGTGGTGCCTCAATGCTGTATATTCTTTTCAGCTACTGCGCAGTCACATCTTAATATATTTCTCAGTCCAGAAACACTCAGCTCTGGAACTCTATGGATACAGATTTAGGCAGTGAAGACTCAATCACCAAACACATATAGCAAGGAATAGCTGATTTCTGCTTACTTGCACAGTACCACACATGAAAAGCCAGGGTGGAAGGAAGATGTTTCTACTCTTCTTTCTTTCTCAAGACAGGTTTGACTAAAGAAACACTACTATGAAATTCCTAGTGGTCTATTACAAGAAACTCCACCTTGGAGTCTTGGGATGGTTTTCATCTTATGCAAGATGATATCAGGCATTCTTCTGAAAATGGATTAGGAATTTTAGTTTCTCAAAGAACAGGTCAGCTTCCCCTTCTTTTGTTACAGAGAGAGGGGATCTCAGGAAACTAGGGTCAGGTGACAATTCTCTCTCAACATCCCACTTTCAAGACACTCCAAGACAGGAATCATTCAAGCAAAAGAGTCTCTTTCATAAAGTCTGCGTCTCCTGCAATAAAAACACTGACATACTCATTGATATTTGGACTGCAAAGATGTAATTATTATAAACCCATTCAGAGCAGCTGAATGAACTCTCAAAATAAACCAAGATAAATAAGTCCAAATAAATAAATACAGAAGCCAAACATAACAGACAGCTGCCAGGCAGTGCTGCCTGATACTGCCACTTTAGCCCTGGGACCCTATAAATGTTTCTTTCAGTTTTACCTTTCTATCCTGACTCTTCCCACCAATTGCTTCCTGTGGAGTGGATTCACTTTTACCTCATTTAATCAAAAGCATGACAGAGCTCAAAATTGTCCTCCTTTTCTCATGGGTTTTACATGAAGAATGCTGGCTCAGAGTCCAGTTTCTTGGAGTCAGAATACCTGAGGAACTTGTCCTAGTTTTCTTCCTCAGCTGTATTTTTTAATTTTAGTAGACTATCAAGCAATGATTCTTAACCTGGGTACCACAATACCTTGGAGTGCTAGGAGATCTTTCCAAGGATGCAGCGCTGTACTGTAGGTATGCAAGCACTTACACGATTCACAAGATAAATGCAGAGATTGCAAATGGGAGTGTCAAAAACATTCTAACCTGCTGTGGTCTTTTGGAGTCCTTCGCATCAGAAATGAATGATTATTTTTCCATTGCCAAAAAGTCACAAAAGCTGTGAGCTCACATTTTCCAAGGGGTACCCTGAGTCTAAAAAGGTTGAGGAGCATTGCTATAGAACAAGGGGCACATTTAGGCTTATGTTCTTTAGCTAATTTTTCCCCCTGCTCTTCTCATTTTTCTCCAAGGCAACTATTTTATTTGTTGAATAATAAAAGGAAAATGTTGCCGAATTCTTTGCTTCATAAAGAACTGACTACAATATATTTGGACTTGGATCCTACAATTGGATCCACAAGTGCAGAGTTTTGCTTGTACTTATCTATCTGGCTGGAGAATCAGACCTTGGTGGGAAAAAGTTCATGCTAAATTTACCAAAGCATAGGAATACTCCCAAAAGGATTCAGATAGAACTCAATACACAACAGAGAAGAATGATTTTAAATGAAACAAAACCACTTTCACAGTTCAATACTGCCTTTTCCCATGCTCCTCTTCTTATGCAAATTGGTCCATTTGTTGGCTGGTCAACTTACTGACAAGGTTCTGAAGATGGGAAGCAGAAATATATCATTGTTTGAAAAAAATTAAAGGGGAACTTACTGCTAATGACAGTGTAAGCATGAAAAATAAAAATATTATAAGGGTTTCAGAAAACCAACACTTTTAATGCAAATTACAACCTCTTCCGTTTTGTTGCTGAAAAGATGTTAGCCAGTCAGAACTTACCCCTTTTTCTGCAAGATTTAATGTAGGCAAATGCAAAGTTCTGGTGTGGGAGGATTTCCAGTCAACTGGCATGACATTACCATAATTATCAGTCAAAGCATTCCAAATCCTATGTATAAGAATGAAAGAACAAATCTGCAGACATCAAAATGTAAAACAACTGATATTAAGATAAAAGAATATCTTTTGTTGATGTCTCTTTCAATAAGTACATTTCCTGCCTCCACATATCCCAAAAAATATTATGACCAATTTTTTTTGTGTTTTAAAGTTAAAGAAATAAAACCTTCAAGTTCAGCTTTGTTTATGCTTCTTTGTTCCAGAGAGACAAGTAATTTGCTTGTGTGTACACATCAGGAACATTTTGAAAAAAAAAGAGAGGGGGAGATAAAAAAAAAAAAAAAAAAAAAA